CGGCCCGGCCCGGCCCGGCCCTCTCGGCAAGAGGATATTTATTAGAGCTGTGTGCAGGGGGTGGTCAACACCGTACCGTGCTCCTTTCAGCCTCCTTCAGACGGCCGATGGTGCTGTTCTGCCTTGCCTTTCCTCTCTTTAAGATCTGATGCCGTTTGGATTTTAAAGTGTTTCTCTTTAAAAGTAATTTTTTTTTCTTCAACTTGCCTCCTTGGATTTGATCTCTAGGCCACTGCAAAGCTATTTGGTTGAAAAAAGGCTGTGTTAAAACACTGCTTTGTGTGTTGGACCGTTCCAGGCAAGTAGTATTGAAGTACGTGTGTATGTTTGCTTTATAGGTGGAAATGAAAAGAAATTACTGGAGAAGCAAAGAAAAGCATGGCTGGAGCAATCACAGGCACAGGTACCATCCCCATCAGTACAGAAGACCCAGTCACGATAACTGCACTGAAAGGCAAGTATGTGCAGCTTGTGCTTAGCGTGGGTTAAACCATTAGATGTTATGCCTAATTAAAATTATAGAATGGTGGCTATCTAGAACTGGGAGGGTTGCCCTCTAAAAATCTAGTGGACAGTACTCCTGGTATATCTGTCATCCCTAGTGGGAGTGGAATTACATTGATTTCAGGAAATTTATCATATATTTGCAACTGTATATTGATTTTAAACTGAGATGTGGCTCTGTAAGGTTGTACTTTCAGGTGTGCCCGATTGCCCATAAACTCTTCATCAATATGCAAAGATAGTTCAGGGAAGAAAAATGTTTCTAAGTACTTCATTCTAACTGCTCACTTATTTTATGCCTTGGTGTCTGTCTGCTAATGTGCAAACTGTCATTAAGGGATATTCCTGAAAGTTTAAAAGCATGTTAAGTAACATGGTAATAATACTACATCTAGCAGATCAGAAAACTGAAACAAGGTCTCGGGAATAGTCCAGTGCCTTGAAAACAGATTCTTTCAGAAAAGTATGTTTTAAATTTTAGAACTTACACTTGCTTGTATTTGAGCTATTTTTATGGCTCTTTTTCTTTCCTGTGTTCTTTCCTTAGTGCCTCTTGCTGGAATAAAGAAAGCCAACCCTTTGCTTTAATACTCTGTAAGCATTTTTTTAAAAAGTATTTTTAGAGAAAGAGACACAAACACATAAATACATGGGTTTCCCTGTTGTATTTGTGTAAAAAAAGTTAGAAATGTCAATGGGCCCTAATTCAGTGAATACAGAATTAAAAGGATTTTATTAAAAAGCTTAAAATTGAGGTGCTTAGGTTTGGTGTGGCATTTTTTCCGTTGTAGGTTGCTGTGTTCTTTAACTGTTTTCAAAGGTGTATAATCAAACAGCAATAAGCTGGTATTAGAACTAGAGGTTTTTTTTCATTTTGTTTTCAATAAATTATGACTCTTGCAAAATATCTTGCCAAATGCTTTTAAGATTACATGTAATAAGACCTGCCTTAAAAAGTGAGAATTGTACGGGTGATTCAGAAAACATCCCAGTGGAATTTTGTTCATCAATACTGAATGTGCCCATTTAAATTACTCCAAAAAGAAGAAAGCTGCAGTTACCCTGTTGACTGTGATGCTTATTACAAAAACAGAGTTTTCTTTCTTGGAGTTTTCATTAAACTTTTATTTTGCATGTTTCTGAACCTCATCAATGAAATTCTTGTAATTAAAAGAATGGCAAAATATTTTTGACCTGACATTAATGTTTTACCCACACTGTCGCTCGCTTTATTCTATGAAGACTTAACTGCTTTCAAGGGTGGGCTTTTCTTTTAATTAATCTTTCACTGAGAAGAGTTAAAGGCACTTGCAGAATCAGCTCCCACCTCTAGTATTTTAACAAGTAATTAAGGCTTTTAAGATGTTGGTATCTCTAATGTTACTGAGAGGTTTCGAAGCTGAATATTTTTACTGTTTCATTTTCATAGTTTAGTGTATGGTGATATACACAGTATGCTTATCACAGCCCTGCAAAATTATACTCCATTAATGTCAATAACAAGCTGCTTCTAGATTCTTTGTGGGAAAGATATGTAGGACAATTGTGAGCCTGTCTTGAAGGCAGTGCTATTTTTCTAGGCTGGAACAGGAAGAACCACAGACCCCAGTGCATGCAGGCCCCAGCAGCAGTGGAGATCCTTCTTCATCCAGTTTAACACAGAACTCTGTAGTACCAGGTAAGGGACCGTGTTTACGGGTTGAAAATCGGTGTCTGTATGCTGGCTGTATGAAAAAAGTAGCAGTAGTTGCATTAATAGTATGATGTTGAAGGATATAAGCAGTAAAGTTTGTAGAGAAAAACAACATAAAGACACAACGATGCACCACTTCGGGGTGTGGGGGGAAATCTCTCTCCGTGCCTTCAGTGTATTTGATACACTCTGGCTAAACGTTTGTTCATTACCAGGGAGTTGACTGGTGAAACCAGACTTAATGCAGTAGTAGTGCTATTGAGGAAGATGTCCCATTTGCATTCTGGTTTCCTGACTCAGCACTAGCAAAAGCTGAGGCTGTGGAAACGTGTATTTCTCCACAACAGGAGTCCTGTAACACCACAGACTCTATAACCTCTTAACAACAGACAAAGCCAAAACTGTGAGCATGATAGGAAATGTATCCTGCAAAACATTTATTACTGTGTAATTAGATTCTCTATACGAAATGCAGTGTGCTTTTATGACCTTTACTGATTTATTCAGTAACTTAATATTTTTGTTAACCTGAATAAATCTTGGTCACGTGTTGCTAAGCTGAAACCTAAAAGATGCTGACAAGGAGCTGAATTGTAAGCAGCAGTGAAAAGAGGTTACTGCAAATGCGGTTTCTGGCGGTAGATAAAGGTGTAAATAAAAACTCTTGAACTGAAGATATTAACACTCACCTTGTCTCCTTTGTCTTGAGACAATTCACTGTTACGAATCTGTCAAAGTATTTTGCCTGTGTGCCTGCCTCTGCGAATTTACCTGGGCAGTGAAGCACTAAAATGGAATATTAGTTTCTCTCCTCCCAGTTCCTCTTTAGAAGGAGCCTCTGTGTGTTGTCCAAATGTGCTCTTGATTGTATCTAAATCTCTCCTATGTGTTGAAGAAAAGATGTCTTGTTATGTGGGTGAAAAGTCATTGTCAATTTTTTGTTTGTTTGGGACTGCCCTACCTAATTGTTTAACCAAAAGCATCCCCTCGTGATTGATTTATGAAGAAAAGTAATTTTTGTTCTGCAGCAAAACCTTTCCTCTCTGCTTCTCTGATCTGTCTGAATTTCATCTTGGTCGGGGTGACGTCCCTTCCATACCTGTGTAACAGCACTGCATTTGAAAACTATAAGTAATCTGTTTTGTCCTTTAAGTAGCTGTCATCTATTCCTGGTCTATGTATCATGCTTAGGACCTGCTGGGAGCAAGAGCTTTGAGCCTCGTGACTCTGATGTTCCCATGAAGATGTGGGATGTCAAAGAGCAATAAACAAATTTAGTTATCAATCTGATTTTGCCTGGGTTTGACACTTTTTTTTTTTTTCTCCTTAAGAACTACCAGGATTTTACTATGACTCAGAAAAGAACCGCTATTTTCGCCTACTGCCTGGACATAATAACTACAACCCACTCACCAAGGAGAGCATTCAGTACAAGGCGATGGAATGCAAGAGACTGAGGCTCTTAGAAGAGGAAGAAAAACAAAAGAAGGTACATTCTGAAAAAGACTGCAATTGGGCTTTATTGTGCTCTGGACCAGGACAGATTATAAGCTACAGCCTTTCAGTTCTGACTGTGATACAGTTCCCTAAACTGTCTGAAGAAATGAAAATTTCTTTTTGCTGGGAGTTTATAGTCCTTGAAGGCTTTTGTATTGCTGTTCCACACAGGAATGAAAGCAAGTCATTACAGACAAAAAACTTATAAAGAGACAGGAACTGTGCTCAGAGTTGCAGGTTGTCCAACAGCTGCACTGAAGTCAGGGCACTGGATGCCAGGTTTCAAATCCCTGCCTTGAATTGGCAACGTGGAGTCTTGATTTTAAGTTTTCCATGTGTTTAATAAATGTATTGATCATAGTCCTGGACACTGAAGAAACAATACTAATGATATTTTGTAGAAACAGCTTTCATGAATTTTTTTGGACAGGTAAAATCAAGGCGAGTCTTATGTTTATGCCTGGAAAGCCTGTATGCTTTTCATCATAAAGTGTTACAACCGAGTTAATGCTGATGCTGTGTGTCAGTAATCTGGGTAAAATACCTAACAAGGATGTTTTTTAATTACCTGAAAGCCATGTCTTATAACTTTACAAATCACAGCTCAGTTTAAATGTGCTGTCATTTGGAAGAAGTGAGCAGTATTTTTCTCTGTGGGTAATGAAGTTCCCACTTCAACCAGCTATTCAGCTCTTCAGTCTTCACTGTAAAACTGTTGGTTTGGTTTTGTCTTTTTGTTGTTGTTGTTTTAGCTTTTTCCATGAACAGTTTAGGTTTCAAAGATACCAAACAGATGCCGGACATGTTTCTGTTAATAGGAACTGTGGATCACAGAGTCATAGAATGTTGTGAGTTGGAAGGGACCCACAAGGATCATCAGTCCAACTCCTGTCCCTGCACTGGACAATCCCAAGATTCAGACCATGTGTCTGAAGACGTTGTCCAAATGTTTCTTGAATATTATCAGGCTTGGTGCCATGGACACCTCCCTGGGGAGCCAATTCCAGTGCTCCACCACCCTCTGGGTGAAGAACCGTTTCCCAATGTCCAGCTTAAACCTCTCTTCTCAAAATCAGGCTATTAAATCAGACAAGATAGAACGTTTTGACTCTTAAATACTTCTTTGTCAGAGCTTTATCAAAAAGATTTCTTATTCCGTAACTTAACTTTTGGTGTCCCCAGAATGTGTTTGTGTGAAATTTTAAAAAATTATGAATGAAAAAGTAGTTTAGTGCAGGACTAAGACTGCATAGTTAATAACAGTCTTGTTGTGGTAGAAAATTTTGCTGTATAATAAGATTTTAAGGTGTTACAGTGAAACCAGAAGATGGGTTTACAGCTCAAGGTGGTACTGCTGATTCTGTCAATTGAAAACAATGGGTGTTGTTTTTTGTTTTTTCTCTGGTTTTTGTCTTTATAGAAGCACCCCACATTTCACAGGAATATATCCTTGTTTCTTTCTTGTCTGCTTACTTTAGGGGATCGGGGAGATGGTGTTGGAATGTGTTTTATAGAGGTTCTAAAAATTGGAATGTATGTAGGCTAGAGGAAAAAGTTATTTAAATATCCCAAACATGGGAGACCACAGCCATGTTTGAATTACAAACAAGCAAATAACTGAGTACACTTTAATGTTATTTTCCTCCAGAAAACAACAAGGGCTGGGCTGAACTCATCTATGCTGTTACAGAAAAGGCAGCTGGGCTTGCTCAGCTCCACAAGTTATTGCAGGTACAATGATTTGATTTGTCTTCTGTTCGCAATACCAAGTTCTGCTGTTAGGGCAGCTGTTCCTATCAGGTTTTCTGCATTTCTTACTCTTCCTCTTAGGACGAAGAGGAACATATCACTTCTAATACATAAATAGTTATATCCTTTTATACTCACAGTACTAAAGTGATGAGAATTCAAATGAAGAGGTTTCCCAATTTCAGATAACTGGAGTTTAAAATTCACTTTATATATATATATATATGTGTGTGTGTATTTGCTGTTTTGCCACATTGTGCTTTATGAACACCTGCAGCTTTTCTTTGCATGAACGCTCTTCAACTGACATGATTGTTCTGCCTGCCCCCAATTAGAGTTGCTATGCTCAGATTCAGTAACAGCCCAGAAGGCAAGTTGGTGACTTGCTGTGTTGTTTCTGCTACCGAAGATGGGCTGGGTTTCAAAATAATGGGATGAAATTCCATGAATGTGGAAGATGCACATGTTCATGGGTTATATAAGTGAAACTGCAGCATGCTAGTTGTTCTGGCATTTTATTTTCTGTGATTGAGAAGCAGTTCTGGATATCCTATCCAGAATTATTTTCACTGGCATTAAACCTAGGCTTACCTGAATTCTTCTCTTCCCCACCCCCACCTGCTTTTACAGACTGGTCCATGAGCTAAAAGTGAACTGCATGCAGAGGAGGAAGATAGAAATTCACAGTCCAGATTCCTCAGTTACTGGAACCAACAATTTTAAAATAATTGTGGTATGTTATGAGAACTGTTAAGCTTTTAGGATAAAGAGAGCCCATCTTCAGTGAAAATTCAGGATCTTGTACTCAAATCCCATAGGTCAAATTTTGCTTTCAAAGATGTGTTACTCCTGTCATGTCAGTTCTCAAAACCTGTGCTCAGTAATGTTAAACAGGTTGGAAGAGACTGTTCCTTTCCTAGAAAGGAAAGTGATGAAAAGGTTGGATATGAAAGTGATTTTTTTTTTGGTTGGTTGGTTTTTTTGAAGCTGATCAACGTGTCCTCTTTGAAAGAAACAGGAATTGAGTGGATAATTAGTGCAGGGCTGTGTGGGAGAGTGGAGGGGATTAAGAGAAGAAAGAAGAAAATAGAAGAATTTGGGGAACGGCAGTCTGGTCCAGAGAATCTATGTAAACATCAGTAATCTTTTTACATCTCATGATCTGAAGGTAGTTTCAACTGGTTTCGATGGTACTGTATGTGCAGGAGAGGTCTCTGAAGGATCTTTCATAGTATTATGTAGGAAGCTCTCCAGGATCAGCTCCTGGTGTTGTAAACAGAGCACTGCATAGGTAGCTGAAGTCAGAAGGGAGTCAGGAACTTGGTGTCATAAAAAAAAAAGTTGAAATGTGGCACCAGCCTTTTTGCTGTGATCCAACAGTAGGAGAATTCCCTGTTCACTTTTGACAAGATTTAAATTTTTGTATTTAGTCCTCTGCCAATACTAGTCTGTGCTTACTAGTCAGAGTCTTAAGTGTCTAGAACTGATGTAATTGGAAAGAGTATGCAGGGACTAAATCCTTTTCTTACTCATGTTTTTTTTGTGTATGCATATAAAAAGGAGTTGGCCACTGTTTTTAGAATCATAGAATCACAGAATGGTTTGGGTTGGAAGGGATTGCCAGAGAGATTGTGGAGCCTCCTTCTCTGGAGACATTCAAAATCTGCCTGGACGCCTTCCTGTGTGATCTCATTTAGGTTCCTGCTCCGACAGGGGGATTGGACTGGATGATCTTTCAAGGTCCCTTCCAATCCCTAACATTCTGTGATTCTGTGTGACCTTAAAGATCATCTAGTTCCAACCCCCCTGCTATGACAGGGACACCTTCCACTAGACCAGGTTGCTCAAAGCCTCATCCAACCTGGAAGAGTTGAATGGAAAGTGGATGGTGTTAAAGGGATCAGAATTAATGTATTGTTTTATTTTAGAGCTGACACAGCTCCCTCAAGCTGTTTTTTCCTTTAAGTTTCCAGTACACGTAACCAGTAAGCTTTTATTTTACAGGCAGATGTTGCTTGTGAACGGATATTCACTGTGAACGATGTAGAGCATGGAGGATGTAAATATGGTATCATCAACCTCAGTGGTTTGGGGAAGGAGTCTCTCACTGTGGAGATGTATGACAACCTCTACTTCACAAACCGCAAAGTACTGTGTTCTGTTCCTGCTTCCTTCAGTTGTTGCATTCTCAGAATACTGTTCCTTGGGAGGCACAGGTGGAAAGGCATGAGGGTTGGGGAAGTGGTTAGGAGGAGAGAAAAATGTGTTTATCCTTGAAAATGAAGAATATTTAAAACAGGCTTTCCTAATCTTTTCATGCTCAGATTCTTTTAAATATGATATCTTAAATAATAGGATGTGTTTGGTGCCTCAGTCCATGTTTCGACAGACTTCTCAATGCTGCTCTGTCTCCTACATTTAAGAGGAATATGAGGCTAAAATCCTCATGACCCATTATTGGGCTATTTAGCGGGCTAAGAAAGTGTGCCCAGCACACAGTTTTATGTCATCTTTGCATGGAAGTACCCTTTCATGAATTGAATAAGAGATCACAAAAATAGTATGTGTTTTTGTGTCTGAAGGTGAATTCCGTGTGCTGGGCATCATTGACTCATCCAGATTCTCATGTTTTATATCCTTTTAAAAAAAAAACCCAATATTTCAGTTCAGCTCTCACAAGTCTGCATCATGCTGCACGGAACAACTAACTTCCAGGATGACATCTCATGTAGTTGCCCCAGAAATTAAGTTTTCTGGAAAACATAGAAAGTTATAAAAATTGAAAGATGTTTGAGCTAATGAAACAGATGTATGGTTCTGTTATAGATATATGCAGAATTGTTCCAATGTAATAGCAGATGGAAGACCATGTTTCCTGCACTGGAGACTTCCTACTTAATTAGCAGTGTGGATGCCATATTCAGAATTTATGTGATGTTTAGAAATTGTCTGGGGCAAAAGAACAAGAAAGACAGTTAAGGTAAATAACTTTGTCTTTGAAGTGGACCTCTTTGAAAGTGGGTTGGTTGGTTGCTGTTGTAAACCATCCCACATTGGTTGGGGTGAGAGGAGAACAGGAGCAATTCATTGGCATCGTGCTCTGCAACTTTCAGAGCATGTTCTGCAGATATGTCTCAGAAGAAGAGGAAGGTTGATGGTGTAATAGAGGAAGCAGTAATGGATAATGCAGAGTCTAGAAGAAAGGAAGAAAAGGAGATTTTAACGTGGGAGATGGCTGGCAACAGATGTGCTATTAAAGTGCCAAAAGAGGAATTATATAGAAATGCATGTAATGGCTGATGGGAAAAGCCAAGCAATTCAGGACTGATCCAGAAGGTGGCAGGACTTCCTCAGGCTTGGTCACAGCTGTGTTAGGACTTGGGGATCGTTTAGTTTGGTTATGTTGTGCTTTCCTCTAGTCATGTCACAGGTTTACACCACTGAACTTGAAATGTGGCTTTCAAATCTTATTTATACCTGGTATAATCTTTAGCAAGTATTTTAATGTGATCTAAAGTAAGTTTTCCTTGCCCCCCTAATATGTGCTCCTCTTTTTCCAACTTACCTCCATGAAAAACAGATCTATATTAATGCAGTGTCATCAGCATGTGAAGATGAGAAGAATAATCTATGTAGGCCATATGTCTATCACTAGAAAGATGTCTTAGTCTTCCTCATATCTTATCTTTCTGGTAGTGAAAATATACAAGCAAGAATGGGAGTTCTTTTTAGCTCTTTCCCATTAAAGAAATGAAGTCAAGACTTAATTGAAAACTGTAAGGTACATCACAGGTCTCAAAGGGAAAGTCTTGTGAGCTGTGACTGTGTAAGAGCATTTTGATTTTTCCAGGTGTAAATGTTAGGCAGAAATTTCTCTAGGGAGAAATCTTTGTTTTCCTTAACTCACTTCAGCAAGCTGTGTCTCATGGGAATTGCAGAAACACCAGGCTGTGCCAGTCTGCTTCCAGCATCATTGTTCAGCAACACTTACCCAGGTAGGGTGCTTTTGTTGTTGTTGGTTTTTCTCTGATTTTCAATAGCAGTTATGGTATGAAAAGAGCACAAAGGAAAGATATTTTCCACACTTTTCTTCAGTAGCTGGCAAGACTGTTGTATTCTTCTAAAACTTAGAAAGTCTGAAACAGTTTAAGAAGTGAACATGTGAAATAGCTTACCTGAAGAATTAATTAACAAGCTGTATTGAAAGCACTCGTTTATTTTTAGCTGTTGATGATGTAGTACTTGGCTTTGGCAGGAGAACACCTCACTTGTAAAATAAACATTTGAGTTTTTTTCATGGGTAGCTTGGCCTGTAACTAATACTCAGAAGCTGCACACAAGAAGTACTCAAATTTCCTTATAGACAATCTAGAATCATTGTAGAATCCCTTCTCATAGTAGCTACTCAGGTACACTCAGTGGATTAATCAAAGGTGGAAAGCTGGTAAATGTCTTGGCCCATAGCTCCTTGTACAAGCTTATGCTCAGTTGTGTATAAGCATGATCGATGTAGAGAATCCTGCGTCTTAAGTCTGATGGCTGCAGCTATATCTTTATGTATTTGTTTGTTCAATGTTCTTGGGGGCAGGACTTTCATGATAGATGTCAGAATCATGTTTCTTCAGGTCACACAGTATAGTCCTCTAACATGATTTCCATTCAGACATGATAAGTTAAGTTTATACAGAGGAAATCTGTGATAGATGAGAGTTATGGACCTGTTTTCAATTTTTAATGTAATGCTATTTATGCAGCCATTAAACAAAAAAAGATGTATAGCATTAGCATTAACATGAACTTGAAGAGTCACTGAAGATGGGTGGCTGCTAGGCCAGCATCCTAGTTGCTCTGTAGAATGTTTTAAGCCCTTCAATATAATCAGATGCCCTGAGTTCCACCAAAGTCTTCCTGTCCAGTATTTCCTATTGACTGTTTTAGGTATTTCCAAGTTTCTTGATGTACTTCACTCTCCTAAAATGTTGGTTTGAGGGAACCTTGCTAAGTAGATGCTGGAAGCAAAGAGAACATAAACCTGTCTAAACCCATGTTTTACACCTGTCACCTGTGCTGCCTGACATATATATGATCATGGTACATGTGCCATGAAGGAAATGAAAACTGAGGACTTAAAATTTATGTCAATTAGTAGACTTTGTGCAGCAACTACACAAGTAAGGGTCAAATCTAGGGCTTTGTTACTTAATCAAACTTTTTTTTTTTTTTTTTTTTTTTTTAATAGGCAGGCCAAGAACCTACAGGTTAGGCTTTGGCTAATCTATAGCTTATAAAGTATGTTTTGTGTTTCTAGCCCACTTGTTTTTTTTTTAAAAAAGGCTTACTTAGTGCTGTAAGGCAAGTGTTATTTTTCTCTTTCCTGCTGTGGTCAGCCCTCTGACTACTGAATAAATTTCAGTCTCTCACAGTCATCTATCTGTATAGACTATAAATCTTCAGCTTACAGTCATGAAGTCCTGCTTTTGTTTCCTGTCTCTTGAGTAGCACAGGGACACTAATAGGGTAACATTTGCTCTGCTTCAGGTTGCCATATTGAAAAAGTATGGAAATCCAGAGAAGCTTTCTGAGTTATCATCCTGTCTTAATGCTTTATGGGCGCTTCATGTGCTGCCCCTCTCTCCTAGGAGACCGACCTGGAATGCTGTGCAGCTTCAAGATATCCACTGCCTGGTCCTGTGCTTGGTGCCTGAATCCCCAAGCAGACAACTGCTTCAGCACAGGTGATCTTAAAGGCTAGCAGCCCCTTCTGTCTCGGTGGGAAACTTATTGGATTAATGTACCAGCTGCTACCCAAATAACAGCTAAATTAACATTATCTGTCTTCCCTAGGCCTGACCCGACGAGTTCTTGTTACCAATGTAGTGACAGGGCATCGACAGACATTTGGAACCAACAGTGATGTATTGGCACAACAATTTGCCACACAGGTAAAAAGAACCTTACACCCTTCATTTTTTCAGAGCTTTGCCTCATTGGTGGGCTTGTCGTTCTGTTTGGGATGAGACTCATCATGCTGTACGTAAGGTTGTGATTACAATTACTGTTGGATCGCTGTTCCACAACAGAGCTGGTCTGATGCTTCCACACAATTGAACAGCAACAGAAAGATTAACTAATTTCAAACTCTGTGGCAACAGTGGTAATTTTTGTTAGTTGTACAGAGATAAAAAGGAAATGAAGGAAGTACAAAGAGCACAATAATAATGTGTTGTAAAATTGTTTTGGTTTTGGCAAATTACCTCATTTTGTTAACACTCAGTGTATTGTCCTCATCAAGAAGGAGAAAACTATAAAATACTAATTTACTTGTTCACAAAGATTTAGTGAGAGGATTAAAATCAGAGTATGAGAATTCTACTTCCTGTTTTGCTGTTAATGTTAGACTTAAGTTCCTACTTACTTAGCTGAACCTTTACAGCCAAAATAAATAGTTGAGGTTTGAATGGAACTGTTGAATTGGCTGAAAAAATGTTGCAGTGTGTAATAAAAATTCTGGTTCTTAATGCCAATGTTAATAAAATAATTTGATGACTGCACCAGAGAGCTCAAAAGCTTGGCATAGCTTGTGTCTGTATAACTCATAAGATCCTTTCAGATGTTGCCTAGTACACTTCTTTCTGTTGGATTCTTACAGACCCCAGTGCTGTACAATGGCTGCCGTTCAGGTGAGATTTTCAGCATTGATGTGCGTCAACGCAACCGAAAGGGCCAGAGCTGGAAAGCAATTCGTCTCTTCCATGACTCAGCAGTTACATCTATTCACCTTCTTGAGGCTGAACACTATCTAATGGCAGCAGATATGGCTGGAAAAGTACGGTTTTGTTGCTTTTAGCGTATTCTGTTCCTTTTAGTATGTGGGCATCGACAGGTGCTTATCCTAGTCCCAGGGGCAGATGCCTTTTCTTTGGGTAGTATGGAGCTGGGTGGTAGCTCCATCTATGGGTCCCCTTCCAGATCCACTTATTTATCAACCATCAAGTGCTCTCTCCTTCATTAATGCATCTTTTTTCAAACAATGACTTCAACTTGCAGATAAAACTGTGGGACCTGAGAACAGCAAAGTGTGTGAAACAGTACAAAGGTCATCACAATGAATATGCTATTCTGCCTTTGCATGTAAATGAGGAGGAAGGACTTCTCATAGCAGGTGGGTTGACTTTTTCCCCTCTACTTGTAGAGTACATGGTTGTGATTTTCTTATGCTTGAGGAGTATTTCTTAGCTACAGCTGTTGGAGCTGTAAAGCTGTTAATCCTTTAAAATTCAGAATAAATTTAGGCTTAGACATACAGTAATATACAATGAAAATTAAGAAATAATGTTATGGATGCACACCTACTGTAATCACTCCTGTGTAGCACTTAACAGCTTTATCTGCTGTGTCATGCAAAGGTCCCATTATCCTTTCCACAGTGGGTCTCAAGAGTAGAACAGAATGCACTTGACTTTGAAATTCAGGGAAACAACGTGTCCACAGGACACTTGGTGATAATTTCATATAGAGACTAAAGATGGTCTGTATGTTTATTTGGTGCTTAAGTGGGTAGTGTGGTGATGGACTGAATTACTGGCATGCAAGCATAACTCCTTGTAAACTGTCTATACCACTTGCATTCATTTTGAATATACTTGGCTACAGTCAGATTTTTTTTTTTTAAATTATTATTTTATTTGGGGTGGGAGAGGAAAGCTAACAATAAATGGAGCAAAACATCTAAATCCTCATACTATAGCCAAGTTTCACAATGCCAGTGTAAACCTCTCCTTGGATTTGTCAATAAGTGACAGAATAACGGGAAGAATTCTTGTTAATTTGATAGTGAGTTCTTGTCCCCTTTTTGGCTTAGGAGCTTGATAATAAGGAAAACACTCTAAATATTGATTTATTGTACCTTTTATTGCTTAATAGGAAATGCACTTTTTTCCAACTTTTGCAATATTCATTGTGGAATTTCTGTTCTGTAAAGTATTGATAAGGACTTTGCCTCTTGTGTGTGTGTAGAAATGGTCAGGGTTTTTTCCCATAGACCTTCTGCTTCTATGATTATGATCTTGCAGAGCTGTGTGAAGTACTTTTTGTGTAATGTTGAGTTGTGGTGTTCTTTCCAGTTGGTCAGGATTGCTACACCAGAATTTGGAGTCTCCAAGATGCCCATCTGCTTAGAACCATCCCTTCTCCCCACCCATCCTCCAAAGATGCCATTCCCAGTGTGGTGTTTTCTTCAAGACTTGGGGGTAGCCGAGGAGTTCCTGGCTTGCTCATGGCTGTCAAACAGGATCTCTACCACTTCTCCTATAACTAACACAATACTCTCTTCAGACCTCATCTACAAAGTCACCAACCTATACATGACTTTTGCACCTGTCACTATGTGCTGCTGTTGCATTTGCTTTAGCCATGAAATTATGAACCTCCCTCAGCAGGTTCAGCAAATCTTGCTGTATATATCTTGTAAATAAAAGCTAGATGCTGGTTAACTTCTTAGGCAGTATTCAGCCTCTCTGAAATCTAGCTATAAGCCTTGAAAAGCTGGTAACTTTCAGTCAGGCCCTGTCTCACAGTAGCTGAATTTGCTGTCAAAAGGCTGCTCTAACTTAATCCTACTTTGGTCATAGAACCACTTAGCTGTGGTTACATCTACTTTAGCAACTAGGCAAGTGCAACAGTGGAGTAGCTGGTGTTGAAAAGCTGACACTAGTTGTTTTGGGGATTTTTTTGGAGTAGCTTTGGTCTGAGTCCCTGTATCAACTGTGTCTACTATGTCTATGCTTGGAAGCAGTCCAAGGAACAGCTCTTTCCATGCTCACACTGTCAGTCATGCTCAACTTTGTTCTTTTCAAGTGATGATAGCATGCCACTACCCTGACACGTTCCCTTGAAAAGACAGCATGCATACAACAAAGCCTTTTTCCTAGTCCAGTAGCCAGGCTGAATGTTGCTGTTTATTTATCATAATGTTTCCTTACCAAGTCCACGCCTCTAACATGATGTTTGGTCATCAGTCTGGAATGGCAGGCTTGGTTATGCAGCTGGAGCAGGAGACAAGCCCTGGACAGACCACACCCTCTTTGGATTATGAGATCACTTGTGCAAAGTCACAACTGGGCCCCGAGCTGTGAAGTTGTAGTACCAGTTCACAGTTAATTGGATAACACGGTATCTGTATTTGAGAACAATCTTCCTCTCATGGAGCCTCATTACCTCCAGCTCCTTCCTGGTACCCAGTCTGGGTTGGGCAAGACCATCCTGTAGCTTGTGGTGTACGTAGAAAGCACTGACAAGATCAGGAGCCCACAGGTGGTGAAGACCCTTGTGAACTAGGTCGGGCTAATGATGGGCTTCACAAAAAAGACATGCTATGCTCAAGTTTTCCAGAATTCTTAGAAAAGGAATGCAGGAACTTTCCATCCTGGGATCCAGTTAGAGCATTCATATGTACAACTCTGTCATCAGAGATGCTGCTTCCCATGGGGTCCTGCTAGGTCAGCAGGTGAGCATACAAACAGGTCATAATCACACCCTTGCTGCACAGAGTGTTAAGATGGAGGCTGTGTCAGAAGCTAGGCTGGGTGTCTGCGTTCCAGCTGCCTTCCGAAATCTGGTATAGGCTGCAGCTGTGCACGAAGATAAGTGTTGCTGGTGACTATAGGTGTAGCCCATAGCTGGGAGCACCCAGCACAACACTCGCACCTGGGATACCATCTGTGTCTGCATTGCAGGGGGGTGCAACAGTGCTGAGCATCCTAGGAAGGAAGGGGCTTGCAAGTCCCTATCAAAGCTTGCCTACTTCACTAAATTGCATTCCAGGAATAAAAAGAAACAGGCTAATACCTGTCTCTTGGCTGCTGACCCCATTCACTCCACCATCTCTCTTCAGCAGGCATAATTACTTTGTTTTCCAGGCCCCTTCCTGACTTTGCTGTGTGTTGTCCTGTGCCTGCAGTGCTGTAGCTCTTGGGCTGTAACTGACCAGAAGGAGTAGCTGCAGTTAAACAAGTGGGTTGGCAGAACTGTTCAATCAGTCACAAAGTATTCTTCCCAGAGAAGGCGAGTGTGAGTTTGCAGCAGCATGAGCACAGCACTGTTAACATGGATGAGGCACTCAAGGTACTGGTGTGAGGTAAGAGCTCACTGAGGACTTGGTGTTGCAGCCCATTCATCCCTTTGCATCCTGCTAGTGGCCTGACCTCATTGATCACATTTCACAACTGTCTCTAGCTTTGCTTCCTCCAAAAAAGAAGTATCGCACATGCCCTGCATCACAAGTCTCCCTTCACAAGACCAGTGCAAACCTAAGCATATCCCATAGGTTTTTCATTTCTTTCCAGTGCACACCTCTCCCCTATCCTTCCATATTTCAAGTGACTTTGTATGAGAGGGAATTATTTAAATACAGGTGCTAGGAAGAATTGGCCCTACCAAAAATCCTCTCTGTCCTGCAGAGCTCCATACTGATTTCTCCTGTCCTCTTCACAAACTTTGGGCGTAAGCAATGTGCTATTCTAGGAATCTGCCTCTCTTCCCAGCAGCTCTACTTGCTCACCACACTCCAGTGTCATGTGTAGTGATCTCCTTCCCTTACTTTGTATTTATTTTACCCATTAACCTATATAGAAGACAACAGAGCAGGAAAACTCTCCTCTTGGGAGCAGTGTAGTAACTTTACAGTGTGAATATATTCTGTGTGAAAGAGCTGTTGCAAGGGCAGTCAAGATGAAAGATGAATCCCAGCAAATACTCAAAACAGTTTCTTCCCTGCCTGAGTATACATTCAGAACCCCCAAATCTTTCTTGTATCACACTAATGGCCATCTCCTGTTTCCCCTAGGCAGATTGAGCTGTGAATTCCTTACAGCTGTGGCTACACTGAGGCATCTGGCTTTAGCATTTCTCTGCAGAGCCTGCTTTCTCACATGAAGCAGAGTGGATGCTGCTCACAGCATACTCTGTGCTGCTCCTTCGCTCTACAGAACTTGCCTGTAAGACCAAGGGTCCTCTGTTCTCCACATATAAGTCTTACAGGCTCTTCCCATTCCCTCTACTACCCTTGGATAACCAGGAGACCAGTTTGGCTAGTGTGGTCACTGAATATTGGCTTGCTTTTCTTTTCAATTTGAGAAAATACTCTGCAATTTGTCTTGATTAGCTGTGTTAATTTGGGACATTTTCTGTTGCATGTACAGTGATTAATACATACAGCACAACTTTCAAAAGCATTTGTATTGACTTAGTTAATAAGGCATACTGCAATGAAGCATCTGTTCAGGAAATAGAAATGTAGCTAACCTCATCCCACTGCCAACTCCTAACATTCTATCTGCTAACCAACACAGAGTTGAGTTGGGACATACTTTATATTCTTGCTAGTAAACATATGTGGTTTAAACACTTGCAGGTAGCAAACCACAAGGATCATTAACTCCTTTAAATCAGAATTAATTCCAAAATTTAAATTAGCATTTAAACTCTTTTCAGTGCTCTTAACTCCAGTAAGGCCTGTTCTGCAAGAACAAGACCGTGCAACAACTGTGCCCAGTTACCGTGGGAAACACCAGCTAGGAATTGTGGCAGAAAGGCATCTTACATAACTGAGGGTAGTTTCTTTTCTTTGTTCCCTTTTAGGCAAAGCTCATAAAACAAAAGATACTAATTTGCTTTCTGTTGTTTTGAGGACCCAAATGCACACACATGTCCCTGCAAAACCATTCACCTAACTAGTGATTTTGCAGCCAACACTTCTAATTAAGCCTGCAAAAGCAGCATGAAAGGAGAGGGGAAGCAGGGCAAGAAGAGAGGCAATTTGGCTTCAGTGACAAACAGCAAGCAACATGCAGGCAGTGGCTAAAGTGTATTAAATCAACCATTTCATTATGCAGCAATAGCTAGGACCCTAAGGCAGCTAAAAAGTAAGGAACTGCAGTACTTTGAATCTAGTAGGAAACGTCAGAAAGGCCAAACCTGCACTCCCAGGTAGGTTGCAGCATCCTTTATCCAGCAAGCACAATTTGTTTGGTCCCTTTTGCTCACTGGAGCAAGGCTCAGAGCAGACCACCAGGCTCTCCTCACTGACCAAACTGCCAGTCCCTCCCATCAACACAATTGTCTCAGAAGCTGCAGAGTCTCACCCTTGTCCTGTTCCATATACCCTGCTTCTATTAGTCACCTCTCAAAAGGCTCTTTCCACATAAAACCCTTTAGGTCACATGAGGGTTAGACATAAGAGGTAGAAACTTAAACTTCTACAGTTTTAACTTCAAGTGTCTAAAGCCGAGAGATTTGCTTCTGGGTCTCCTCTGGTGGTGGGGGTTATGTCTTTCTGTTGACCCTGATTTATTGCAGCACATGGCTCATGGTCATTCCTCCTCAATTATCCTGATGAATACTGAAACTAAAAGGTTAAAAAAAAAATCACTTTACTAGTCACAATTTCACTCTTGAATTTTTATATTTTTGAGCTTAATAGGGACCTATTCTAACAGTACTAGAAAATTAAGCATTAATTGTGAGGAAGTGAGAATTCAAACCAGAATGCATACATAGTCTCAAGATGTCCTCTTACAGTAGCTGCTTTCAGAAAATTACAGTTTGGCAGTGGAGAATTCAGCTTTGGTCCCCAAACCTTCAGATGCTGGTGTCTACTTGCATATACTATGTACACTGCATAATACTGTGAGCTGAATCAAGCAGTCAATACCAACCCTAGACAGGGGTTCTGGAGAGAGGAGCTGGGGGTTGGAAGATGCTTGACCCAAGCATTTAAAGCCTTTTACAAATCTGTTTCATGTTTCAAAAATGAAAGCCAAGGCACAAAGCTGATAAACCATTTTAGGTAAAGTCTGAAAATATCAAGATCACCTGCCTTTTCTTGTTCAAACAATTTCTTTCCTATCTGCAATTCTATTAATATCATGGTAGCTGTGAAGCATTCTGGTGCCTTCCTGACAAGTCATCATCTGTACATTATCATACATACACTACTGCTTCTCTCCAGTGCTGCTGTAAAACTGCCTTTTAAGAAGAACCCAAAAGATTTAGCCAGCTTTTCAAAATGTCAGAAATCAGAGTGCTTCGAAATCTCCAGGCATTCTTGACAGAAATTCTGTAATGCCACAATTGAGACATTTCCTTCATGAGGACTTCTTTTATATATATATATATATACACACACACACACACACACACATAAACCTTGTATCTGTATTGCTTTATTTTTTGCTTGAGTTATATCCAATAAAAATGAAGTTAAAAAGCTGAATGCACTTCCATTTTTGCCTAAGGTAACTGAGTAGCTGCAGTTCTAGCTTAGCTTTGTCTTTAACACATTATACTGTTGGTTTTGAAAGCCCTCATAGTAAGTTTTTATTTGTTTTGGCATGGCCATGATTTCATTGTTGATGTGCCTGCACTAGGAACAAAAACATTTCATGACTGACTGTGTGCTGTGACTGACAGAATATACATGTCAACATTGCTTTATC